TTGGGCTGGATGGTGTTGTGGAGGGATAACCTGGGTGTTGTTATGGAAGGAAAACCTGGATTTTGGCCTGGGTGGTGTTACTGGGGTGGGGAGCTCAGGATGGCAGCAGTTCCCCACTGTGACCGGTGGGACCCAGTGCAGTTCATTAATGAAGTTCTGATGGCTCCTCAGCCCGTGTGCTGTCCCAGAGAGGATCCCCTGTGTTCCTGGGAGCCTTTGAAGGGCCGCTCCCACCTCCCACATCCTCAGAGGGCTGGACTTTGAGCAGGTCCTCGGTCCCTTTGATGTCCCTCTGGCCAGGCTGCTCCGCATGCCTGAGGCCTGAGCTCACGGAGCTGCGCCGCCTTCCCCTTCCAGCAGCTCCCTGGGGATGTTCCTGCCCTTCCTGAGGACCCAGCAGCTCTCCCCTGCTTTAGGGATAAACAGCATTCATTCTCCAGATTTCCACACATTCCTGCTCCAGCACAAGATCCTGGAGATGCTTATGGTGCATCTCATTTGTGGAGAGCATCCACAGATACCCCAGTTTTGCTGTTGGAAGAGGCTTTGAGAGGCCCAGCACTTCTTTGACTTGTAAAATGCAGAGTTTTCCTTCATTGCAGAATGAAACTCAGCTCATTTACATCCGTACAATGTCCAATAACAGCAAAGCTTCCTGAAAAACCGGGGCTGGCCTCTGCCCTGGGCTGTTTGCACGGCACTGACTCACTTGGGAATTGTCTCCTTGGCTCAGGCCAGGGTTGACCTTCAGGTTACAGCAGTGGGAGGGTGACTTTCCTCACTCACTGCTCCATCCCAGACCTTTCTGAGCAAGGTGCCAATGTTTTTCCATCCTGGAATGACTCTTGCTGCCCCTTTTGGTTTAAAAATAACCCAATTTAACCCAGCACCTTGTGGCATCCCTGGCGATATCACCCAGCTGGGATTCACAAGTTCTGGTACAAATGTTTTATTGTGGTGCAAGGCTTAGGAGAAAAACTTTCTGCACTGCCTAGGAATTATTTAGGCTGGAAACCTGCTGGTGTGGGTTAATGAATTGCACACATGGAACGAGCCAGGAAAACTGGAATTCAGGAACAAGGAGAACAAATGTGACCCTCACTGACATCTCGTCCTCACAGAGACCTTGCTACAGCTCTGGCCATGCATTACCTTGCATTAAATGCTTCTGCAGAGCTTTATTCCCAGTTTTCCCTCATCTCCATGAGGCTGAGGGCAGCAGAACTCTCTGTCCCTGGGGAAGGGCTCAGGGACACTGTGGCCATCTCTGCATCAGGCCAGGGCTGCTTTGGGCTCTTCCCTCCCAGCACCTGGAACCCATCGTGACAGAATTGCTTCCCTCAGCTGCAACATCCTAAAATAGCTGCTCCGGTTTCTTTTAAAAATAGTCTGTTCTGGGTGTCATTCCCTGCTAAAATTGTGCCTCTGAGTCCTGCTGGGACAGGGGAGGGGACGGGGGCCAGGTGGGAGCATCGGCTGCTTCGGAGAGGGGGCCACGTGTGAGCCCCTTGAGCTGCTCTGTTAGTGGGCTCAGAGCTGTGGGGCTGGGCTGGGGATGCCAGGATGGACTGCAAAGGATGGCTGTGGAGTTGGAGCAGTGCGGGGATGGGGTTGAAGGATGAACTGCCAGGGGTGGCTGTGGAGCTGGAGCAGTGCTGGGATGGGGATGAAGGATGGACAGCCAGGGATGGCTGTGGAGCTGGAGCAGTGCTGGGATGGGGATGAACTGCCAGGGGTGGCTGTGGAAATGGAGCAGTGCTGGGATGGGGATGAACTGGAAGGGGTGGCTGTGGAGCTGGAGCAGTGCTGGGAATGAACTGCCAGGGATGGCTGTGGAGGTGGAGCAGTGCTGGGATGGGGATGAACTGCCAGGAGTGGCTGTGGAAATGGAGCAGTGCTGGGATGGGGATGGACTGGAAGGGGTGGCTGTGGAGGTGGAGCAGTGCTGGGATGGGAATGAAGGATGAACTGCCAGGGGTGGCTGTGGAGCTGGAGCAGTGCTGGGATGGGAATGAACTTCCAGGAGTGGCTGTGGAGCTGGAGCAGTGCTGGGATGGGAATGAACTGCCAGGGGAGGCTGTGGAGCTGGAGCAGTGCTGGGGATGCCAGGATGGACTGCCAGGAGTGGCTGTGGAGCTGGAGCAGTGCTGGGATGGGGATGAACTACAAGGGATGGCTGTGGAGCTGGAGCAGTGCTGGGATGGGGATGCCAGGATGGACTGCCAGGAGTGGCTGTGGAGCTGGAGCAATGTGCCACGTGCTGGTGGCCACCATGGGAAGGA